CTGTTAAACTGGGATTCAAACAAACTAACCAATCAAATATACTGTATTAGGTTTCTTTTCCTTTGCATTTTAAAACACTGCCCAACATTTTACACATTGCTTGGTCTAAATCAGTGATGCCAAATAAAAACACAAAAATAGCTAAAATTCTGTCAATTTTTAAAAAAGTGTGCTAAAATTTAGAGCGGTAGTAGCTCAGAGTCAATCACAAYACCTAGTCCAAGTCAGGGGTTTTCCAATCCATGACCTCAAGGACCATGTTTTACTTGTTTCTCTGCTCCAACACACCTGATTCAGTGATTTGATTACCTCTTCAAGTTCTGCAGAAGCCCATCAATCCCACACTCAATCAAATCAGGTGTGTTGGACCAGAGAAACCTCTATCATGTAGGGCAGAGGCCCTCAAAGACCAGAATTGGATACCCACTAGTCTAAATAAGTAAGAACCTAATAGGACACCTCATAAATGGCAAATCCGATGGTGAAGAGGTTGGCTCCCATCTTGCGCTCTTTTCKTCTGTTTTTCTGCATCAGTGAAACTACGAAGGTGCAGCCCACCTCGTTGTCGTCAGGATCGTCATCCTCYTCCAGAAGGCGAAGGCGGTACTGAGGGTTGGTCCAGAAAGTGTCTGCAGGACATTTGCAGCATCAGTATTATGCTGTTSCTATTAGACAGTCGTAACATTTTTGGCATTTGATTATTCAAAAATACTTTTAAAGGACAGTCATTCCCATTATTTTCTTTTTATTATTTTTCCATACTAATTTGCAKTCTATTTCTGCATACTTGGTGCTATTTTGACCATTCGTGCATCAAAACATTCAATTCATTCAGGAGGTAGGTACTATGACTTCTGGTGTTTCTAACGTTTACCTTTTTCAAAATATTTAACTTCATTTACAAACATTTCACCATAGAAATACAGAGAAATTCATAACTTTGTTCTTTGATTCAAACGTACTTCTGTTGTTGTCGTCTGTTACTTTTAATCTTTAGCTACAATTCACTTACTTTGAGTCTTTYGCTACTTTCAGCTGTTGTTTTGCAACTTTTTTTAAAAGGTATTTTGCTGCTTTTGGCCTTTCAGTTGAAGTTTTGTTTCTTTTACATTTATGAACAAATTTTCATTTTTAGCAAATTTTAGCCCGTCAGCATTTGTACTGTATTTTGCACAGAAAATGCCATGACTAATTTATCACAGATGTTTTGAAAGGRCAGAAAGGAGTAGAGTCAACTGATWACWTCCTTTTTTATATTAAAGAACAGAAATAATTTCCTGCATTTGTTTTCTGCACAGTCATTTACCTGGGTAGTTCCTACAGCCTCCAGCAGAGCAGCCTCTCACCCAACGGCCCTCATTCACAGAGACTGTCCACTTGTGGGTCTTATCATCCTCCAGGGCATCAGGTGTGAGGTTACAGATCTCAATCTTTGTGTAGTTCTTTTTAAAATCTTCAAATGACATCCTGCATGATACCAAAAGAGACAAYGGACTTCATTAATAAAGTACACTGTAAATGGTAGAATCCAGGGATGTCTTGTTTACCTAATCACATATTAAGAATAGAAATATTATTTTATAATAAATGCCCTTAAATATTGCAGATCATAGTTTCAGGATGGAAACTGAATCTATATTCTTAAACCAGATCCAACCCCCTGTCTGTAAACAAGACCCCAGGACTGAAATCAGCACTAATGCCTAAAAGTCCACCTACCAAAACTCTCCATCCTCAGCACTTTGGTGTTGCAGTTTCTCTTTTTCARTCTTAGAGATTGTGGTCCACTCCTTGGAGCTGTTGGATGATAAGTAAAAAAGGGGTCAAATTTACGTTATTTTTTGATTTATCCAAGTTTCTTGAGTCTAACAAAAGCTGAAGGTAGAAAATGAAAGTCTTAATCACAACTAAATGTAGTAAAGCAATTAAAATAAGAAAACAAAACTTACTTGTCGCTCCAGGGACCGTTCCACTCTACCTGACCCCAAGGGTTCCTGAGACGCACCAGACGAACTTTATTATCTTTGTGCTGAGACGGCTTACACTGCAGTGAAACACAATAATTATGGAAATATAGAGATTTTAACTCACGTTACTTTAACAACCTTTAATTTGCTAAAATTAAGGACTTTGTCTTGTTATTGTAAAAAATAGATAAAGAGATGAATGTGTTGCCATGAAGCAACACATAGTAATATCTTCACAGTAAGAGGATTGTTTTACCTCCTCCACGGCGGTCACAGAGTATGCATGACCCTTCACAAGTCCTGTCACAGTACGAGTTTCAAAGCGAGCAGGAACCAGWGACTAAAACCAAACATGCAATCAAGCAAAAACATTAAGATGTCAGTAAAACAAGTCACTATAATGCTCTGTTGTTAGAGTGAATGATACTTTGCTCAAAGAATGTATTACTGTGGACAGAGTGACTAGAGCTGCTGAAAGGTAAATTTCACCAATAAAAATAATCAATAGGATAATGTGATTTCTAAATTCTTAGAGCAATAACAAAAAAAAAACATTTAATACTACAACAGAATCTCTGCATTTGACTTTAAAACAAACTCTTGGTTGGSACAGTCATCTCTGTCTTTGTGCCGTGGTAAAAAGATCTCACATCAATGGAGCAGCCCATGAGGGAGCCCCTCTCCAGAGCTTTCTTCATGATCTTGTAGAGCTCTTTGGGAGCTTCCTTCATCTCATAAAACTCAGTGACGCCTCCGGTGAAATCCTCCATGGCCTCGGTGGTGTTTCCACCCTTCAGAGCCTCATAGGATCCATGTAGCCTAAACACAGGCAAGAGGCGTGACAGGAACTTTAAACAGTTTAAAGTCAACATGTAGAGAAAATCGTTGTAAAAAGCACCTCGGATTATAGCATTCAACCCATCACTCACTTTGCGTAAGCCTTCTCCAGCAGGGCACTCCAGAACTCATTCCTCTCAGCAGATTTAGTGAAGACTAGCTGGTTGTTAACAGTTGGGATGCGGTCGTCAATGACGACGTCGACCCAGTCACCATAACGCCAGAACTGAAGGATGGGAGGGGTTCAGGAAGGARAACAATCCAGAAATTAGACTCATCAAGATCATGAGGGTATGCAATTATTTAAAYCTTAAAATAGTTGAAGGATCTCCTTCTCAAAGCTGCCACTTTAACAWAGTGGACAGATTTGAGAACACCCATGATCCTGGGTATGTAGTATGGAAAGTCTGGTGGAGTCTTCCATGACACATTAGCTTCAGTAGAGGAGTCAGAGCAATACAAAGACCTGGATGAAGGAGGACCACCAAAAACATGATTTTTTGCCTAGAATAGGGAAATCACTGCACAACTGGGGGTGGGAAAGCCTGACAAAGCTACAGGAAGTCAGCTYAATATGGTCCCACTACCTGTGAGGAGAATACAGACTAAGAGATGTGTGACCTAGTTGGCAGGTGAGGGCGGGGCCCAGGATATACCGATTCTTGGAATCATAAACAGGTTCTAAGTACATAAATGGCCTGATCAGATCCCAAAATAACGAGCGCTACATTGTGTGGGAAAACTATAAAATTACATGTAATATTAGTGGGCATGTTGTGGGTGATCTACAAAGATTTCTGCACAAATAATAACAGATGYAAAAGTGGTGCAGACTGCCCTGCTGACATGAGGATTACTAACCTGCTACTGGCTGGCACCATGGAGAGTTTGGTAGAAAATATTTCGTTTAAAGCCACGGAGATGAAGATCTTAGTGAAGGAGGCAAAGATCCAGATGTAAGAAAATGAAGTGTTGCAAGGAATTTTTCTTTAGGAGGTATGGCTTCAACTTGTGACTGGCTCCAAATTAGCCTTAGATCCTCCAGCAGCTCAAAAATGGAATTGCTGGCAAGACGATACATTTCCACTATTTTTATTTTTGACAGTGCAAACATGTGGGCATGAGCACAAAACTATCTGCCATCTGTCACTGTACCTACATCTCCTTCTTGCAACCATGACCTCAGAAGTTTATTTGTAATGTTGCCCTAATTGGCACCTGTCTTGCAAACATACTAAATATAGACACAAAGACCGCAATCAGTTTTAAGCCAATAAGTCCAATAGTGGTGCTAAATGATTATAYTTGCATATCCTCCTCCCGGTATTTTGCACGTTCTGATTATCATTACTCTGCATATTCATGAAGACAAACACGCTAAATGGATTGCGGTTGCTATTTCATTTATTTGACAGACACAGTCCTGAGTGGTTAGTAGATCAGCTTTGTGTACACTATCAAGTCTGCACGTTTTTACACATGCAAACCTTTGTAGATCAGGCCCAAAATGTCACCACACAAAAGTAGCCGAATCTTGTGTGTGAGGTTGAGCAATGTTAATTAGATAGAGCTGGGCTCATCTCTACATACAGCACTCTGGAGCCTAAAACCAATGAGCAACGACAGAGTCATCTGGAGGAACAGCTTCCTGGGGGGGGGATTCCTCCAGGTTTGGGGTGAGTCTTTGCCTCAAGCAGAGGAGTTCAAGAATCAGGAATACCTGTGATGAGTATACGAGTGATGAAAGGATGTAGCGGGAGAAGGACAAACGTATTGGACAGGACCTGTTGCCTCTACAGCCCGACCATGACTCAAAGAAAGCCAATGAACGGATGCAATGTTAAATATTTTAAGCTGCAATTAGGTGAACACTAGAATGATAAATAGTAGCTTCTATTAATGGCTAATGTGGCTGTGTTTCTTAATACCATTAGTCTGAAATATAAAATTTATATGTAAAAAAAGGCTTGTACATTTTTTTGAAATCCAAATTATCAGCTTAAAAATTAGTTTTTTAAATCTTGGACAGCTGATAATTACTGTAATGTGTGAGAAGCTGGGATCAGCATTAACACTTTTTTTCATATCTTACAGGCACAGCTGACTAGTTTCCAACTTAACTTTTGAAGAAGAGGATGATGATCTCGTCAGGGTACCATTTGAAAAGTAGGCAGACATTTCTCACCTGGAAGTGAAATATACCGGCATAGCTTTCACAGTAACTCTGCTCTTGAGGAACAACTCGATACAAAAGTTTGTCATTCAGGGTGAGGCAGGCAATAGCAGCCAGCAACCAGCAATCACCTGAACAAAGAAAATAAAGTTAAAAGTTTAATTTAACTGAAAGTATCTTCATTACACTAATCTTACAATAAGATTGTAAAAAAAACAAGAAAGTATCCTTTATCTAGTGTGAATTTCCTAAAAACAAGAGACTAAGAGGTATTCCTATCTTGGAAGTTTTGTTGTACAGAAGTTAAAGATTGCAGCGGAGTGCTGCTGATGTTAGCATTAATTTTAATTGCCCAGGTGTGTGACGGGGTGCTAAGAACAATGTCATTTTTTTCCCCAACAGGGAACAGTTAGCAGCGACAGCCAGGACCTTTGTCCCTTTGGTGCCTTTTACTTGCTGCTAAACGAAACAATGAGAAGTGCTGCTGGATGGATTCCCTTCCAAAAGAGTTAGCACAATATGTGGAGGCCTCTGCAGACYGAGAGGCCGAGAGCAGGGGATTCATGGGACGTGCACTAACTTGTTTTTATTGCTACAGAGTCTACCGTGACTWCAAATTGATTTTCTATCATTACTCTTTTATTTCGTCCAAATTTGTCTCAGTATTAACATACAGTGCATGGCAGCTCCCAGACAAGCCTGCTAATTATTTCATCCATCTATTTTTAGTGCCTCAAAAAATGAAGAGTATTTTAGTTGGGAAATAGAGATGACATTATTGATTGTTGCAACATTTACCCAGATCTCCCTGACAGATGTCTGTTCTGCTGGCTCCTCCAACAATGAACTGAGGGTTCTCACAGATTTCCTGCAGACAACAAACAAACAGGATTATTTATTCGACCTTTAGGCAAATCCCAGAGATCACAGAACTCTTTCAATGGAGGAAGCCCAACGTTCGTGTTTTTGGACTGTGGGAGGAAACCAGAGTACCTGAAAATAATAATAATAAAAAAAACATGAAGAACATATAAACTCCACATAAAAATACACCAGGTCCAATCCAGGAATTGAATCCAAGACCTTCTTGCTAAGAGGCATCAGTGTTAACCACTAATCCATCGTGTTGCCTAAGATTTACAATAAGTAACAAACAAGTGATCCATTTTAACTAGTCATTAAAAATGGACTTAATCATTGATATTGTGCAACAATCCAGTTCTTCAACTCCAACCTTTCATTACAGAAGGAAAAGGAAGTATTTCAGTTACATCTTCAGCTCCTACAATCCCACAGCCAGCATCAGTTTGTCATCTTTAAATAATCCATCATCAGATTATTGTTGTATGTCTAAATTACACCTGACCTCCCATATGTAGGACCCGTCTCCACTACTTTATTTTGTGTGTTAGCCAGGTTTACCCTCGCCCTCCTACCTTGGGCCTCTTCCAGACGATGTTCTTGACCTTGTTGGACTTGTGTCCAAGCTCCTTGAAGCCCAGAGACTCCACAGAGGCTGGGAAAGAGTCATCCTCAAACAGGCTCTTCCTCTGAAGGCACTCCTGTCTCAGAATGTTATAGTCCTGGCCGTTAAAGCGGATGGGCTTGCTCAAAGACCCTTCCCCGTCTCTCCTTTCTCGTTCCCGGATCAACCGGTCGCAGAAAAAGCCCGCCGGTGTGTATGGCATCTTTTCTCTGCAGACTTTTTTTTTCCCTTTTCAGGAAAAAAAAAACTGTCCTTGGCCACTTGTACGAAAAAACTTTCAAGCCAAAAGACCCTGGCATAAATCCAAACAGCTAATATCTGATTGGTTCCCTTTCTGTGTGACGTCCCTCTTCCCCTTCGTCACAGAGAAGGTGTGAAAGAGATACACCTCATGTGCATTCACCTTTGCGCTGCCATTCACACACACACTCAAACACGTGCACACACAAAAAAATAAAAAAAAAATCACAAATCACATAAACGTCTTTTTGTTGAGTTCTTATTGGCTGATGGGAACAATGATCTTTCCCTGCCTGTGCTCTGGTGCCATTATTGTTGGGTGACACAAAGGCCAGCGGGCATGTAAAGAGTGGTCAGTGGATRCCCTGCCTCAGCAGAAGGCATTCAAGCCCATTAAACCTGTTCTCAATGGAGCTCAGTGTTGAGCAGTCTCAGCAGAACTGGAGCTACAAATAGGAGCACTGTTCGTTTTTAAACATGGCTACAAAATTATAAACTCAATTAAGTGACTTGGGATTTATTAGACAGAGCAAATGTTCCCAAAATGTTTGTGTAGCTGAAGAATAAACAAGAAACATGCTTTAATGAAGACGGCAAAACTGAAAAGCAATTGGCTAATTAAAATGAGCAGAAAATAAGCTGCAAGGAGCAAAACACTAGCTAAAAGCAGCAGATATGCAGCTAAAATGGACAAAACAGATGCCAAAGCTATTATTAGCAAAACAATCGCTAACAGTAAGTGAGTAAAAATGTAGCTTTAGCAAAACAGATGTTAAAACTACAATCAGCAATTTCGTAGCTAAAACTAGCAAAAATCTAGCTGAAACAAAAAGAAATGATTAAATGGTAGCTAAAAGCAACAAAATAGTAGCTAAAAACTTAAAGTACGGGAATGGCAGCTAAATGCAGCAAAATGATAATTAAATGCTTGAAGTAGAAAAGTGGCAGCTAAAAGGTAAAAGAAATAGCAGGAAGAAGACGATTTCAAAGAGAACTTTGTTTTTAAAAGAACTGAGGAGATTTTAATGCATTTTTAGGGCATTTTATTTTAAGGTTAATTTTTTTCAACTATACTATAAAGGGATGAAAATTAAAAATCAGAAGAAAAATTCTGACATAACTGTTAAAATAGTAAAAAAAAATACGCAGAGTTAGTTTGACAACAAAATACAAACAGAACAAACTACTGGTAAACAGAAAAACATGCTGGCTCAGTATTCACACTATTGTTAAAACATTCAGTCAAACAGGAAGGACTGCATAAGTTTTGAAATGCACTTTTTCTTTCGATATGAGGAGTGAAAAAAACAACAACAACACATATTTATTTTTTTATCTTTTAAGTAGAAGAATATCAATCTCTATGTTGTTTTTCATGTCTGGAAGACCCTAAACAAACAAAAAAAAAGGCAATTTAAAAGCATCTTAAACTGATTTTTCTTTAACTTTTCCTGAGTGTCCATTGTATTTTATAGTTACATAATTTTTAAATATCTGTCAAAAAAGTTGTTATAGTCTCATTATTACATTTTATTAATAAGATCTGTTGATGTTATCTTTACTTCTGCTCGATTATTTCATTATCAGAAAGAAGATTTCAGCTTATTTAAACATTTTTGGACTTTTTTTCTACAAGACCAAAGTAAACATGTGGGTAAAAAAACAGGTTAGGTCACAGATCACAAAAACATTTGATTTTGTTTCAAAGTGTTTCATTTTGTGTTCTTTGTTTCATTTTTCTAATACACAGAAAAAGTGTGACAACAGAATCTTCATCTGTACTAAACATCATCTTCATCTATACTAAAATAAAATTTCACTTCTCATGCTTTAAAATCAATTTACAATTGGTTATAACTGGTTATTAAAATTAAACATTTATATAAAATTATAATATTTAGCTTAAAGCTTAAAATGTGCCTGGTTTTACTCTTAATGTTTTTTTTTCATTATTGTTTATTCAGCTGCTGAACTATGAAAAGTACAGTAATAAAAAACCCACCCGTTTGTGCATGTTTAACATCTCAAGTTTAAAAAAATAATACAAATATGGCCCCGCCACACCAGCCAGACTTCACCCTAAAAAATGTTCATGGTGTTTGTTGGTAAATATTTTTCAGCAAAAAAAAAAAAAATAATAATAATAATAATAATTTTCAGTTATCAACATGTACACGGTTCAGTGAGTTGGCTAATTATT